ATACTTTCATAACTCGCTAAGTGAACGTAAGTACTTACGCTCTATTTTTCTTGTCTACGATTGGTTCATTTTGCTTGAAAGGCCGTCAATGATTGGCTGATGAACTTACGATCTCATAACTTCTTTTGAAAGTATGGGCTCTGACTTGGATCACTAGGTTGACAATCATTGTTCTGCTCTTTGGACTTTCATGTGAAGCTCTCATCTCGAGCCCCATAAGTTGCTAAGCCCGATCGATTTCTTATATGATAAATGAAGCCAATTTCCTGTTGCCAGCCGCCAGATCGTTACCTCGCTCTGTGCGTCGCGTCCCCTCATACTAAGTGATCATCTCTCAGAACCTGACCGTCCTCACGCTCTTTCTTCTTGGTCAAAAATTGATCAAAAATTTCAAGTTCTCGACTTGGAATAGACGTTTTTTAATAGACGCAATAGAATAGACGCAAAAACATTTTTTTTCGATTTCATCGACGGTCAAATTTTTTTGTCATAGAGCTTCATTCTAATGTTTGCAACCGTCAGTCTTTTCAAAGTATTCACACAAAACACAAATTTCACATTCACATTGTAAACACAAATAATTTAATAAATTAAATCATAAATAATAATAAAAAATATCCCACAAATGTGGGCCGGAATCATATATATACGGTATACTTTTTTTACCAAACTGAGAATTAATCTTGCCTTCTCTCGTCTTGCCTAACATCTTCACAGCACCCTTATACAAACGATTTCAGTTCATTTCATGACACAGAATTTATTTGCAATAATTATTGATAGAACTGGACCATCTGATTTTTAAAGTTTCAACACGAGAATCGAAGGATCTTCGACAGATTCATCACATGTATACAAGTAGTAGGAACGAACAGCACCCAACATGCAGATCTGTAAAACGTTCGATTGTGTCGACATAAGAAAAACGTGATCACTTCCTTGTTTTTCCGTTTTCAGTTTCAATGAAATCAATTCTGGGAGAAAATAATTCCTGATTTAGACATCAAACAAGGAACTCATAAAAGCATACGAGTATTCTGCCCAAATTGGTTGATTTCACAAAATTCGAGTCCGAACATCGAAATTAACGGAGAGCTGAGTAAACAAAAATTCTTAAAATAAATTTGACAATAATTCCTTACGCATTTGCTAATAATTAACTAGTATTGATGCAGTAATAATTAAAATTAGGAATAGGCACATGAAGTTAATTACAAATTTGAGGGCCAAAAAAATAATCCTAAAAACGGGATAGTTAGATTAACATTGTTTGGGAATTATGCGTTTCAGCATTATTTTTCGTTAATATTAGAATCATCTTATATGATAACCGAAGCAAAGTGTCTTCGTGCAACAAGCCATTGAGATCTCTCAGGGTCCCAGAAATTCAATTCCCACACGCACAGACAAGCATCTTCCCACAGAGACTCGCAGCAGTTGAAAGAAACTGGAAACGCGTTCGTGGGGATTTGACGGTAGTGCACCACGCGAGGGCATTATACTCGAATATGAGGGGAAGGCGAGTCCTACAGGACACTCTTTATCCCAGCGGAGCGAACAGGGAAAGCATTTTCGAGAGGAATGATTTTGCTCGGAAATCACGAACACGACCAGAATTCTGGCGAGCTGCATGAGGTTACGGGTCACGCGAAGACTCTATTGATGGAGGCCGCAGCGTTGATTAGATTCGTTACAATCGCTGACGAGACGACCTTTAGAGGAGAGCCGAAGCAAGGGGTTTCGCTTCCAAAGCGTAATGGCCTCGCTGAGTTGTAAGGGTAAACGAGCGGCATCGAAGCTCGAGAAGTGAGTTCTGTACGAACATCCTGCCACAAATCCGAGCTATTTAATGCTGAAATATGAGACCGAATACATAGGGATTTGAAAAGAAACCCGAATCCCCAACTGTAATTACGAGAATTATTGGATGTAATTTTGCAATATTACGCGCGCAATTTAGAACTAGGGTGAGCTGTCATTGTGTTCTCATTCTCGGTACAAATACATTCTACATTCAACATTTTCCGATATTTAATTTCTCCTTTTTTAATTAAATTTCCGCAGTGTACACTTGAATCGTTCATGCTATCTTGAACTGTAAAGGACTTAAAAACTTTTTGGTAAAGGACTTTAAAAACGAACATGAACCATCTCGACAAATTGCGTCTGGTATTCACTGTTATTCATTTCTAACTGAACAATGTAGGAATATAATCGAAAATAATGTGTCCCAGCTTTTACCCATACGAAAGATTCTCACTCATAAGAGACTGTATTGCCAACGTATAATACACAAAATATGCATAATAATTATATTATTTACGTCGATAAGTTAAAAGTAATGGGAGCATCACTCCCTGTCGTGTGCAAGAAAATTATTTTTCTGGCCCCAGAATGAAATGTTCCATTAGGTGAGCATATCAGCGGCTTTTATTCAAAGAATTCATGGATTATTGAGAGATGATGCAGTGTAACTTACCGTAAGTAAGTACTCGTTATCCCGCTGACCAATTCAATTCATAAAGAAAAATCGTAGTGTGGAACACGTTCGGTAAATGTTCCAAATTTTCAGTAATTTTCCAAAATTTGAAATTTTCATAATACTGCGTCTTTCCACAGAAGAAATAAGTATTATGTGTTCGGGGACCAATTCTATTTTACTGATAACCGTAAATCACGTCGAGTTTGCCGCCTTTAGATTAGACCTACACTAGTTTAGTTGTAGCATATTAAGTTCTGAAGTGAATAAGCAATTGCTTTGGCTCAATAAAGTCTTCGCTTTTAGTTCACAAATAAATGACGAAGGGAAGTTTTTGCAGGACAATAATCGACACAAGGCAATGAGAACCATGCACCCTTGCCTTATTTTCAGACATCCATGTGAGCGTAGCCAGGATCAAAGCGACTCATATGAAATTTCTTTCTTCCGTTCCAGTGCCTCTCTAAATTATAACGCTCAAATTTTGCCGTATAACTTCATTGCAACGAGTGGCGTTCAAATAAAATTGAGGAGAGGAGAACGTTTTGGCGCTCGTTTCCAGTGAGTCGCTAATGTTAAACACAGCCTAATTTGACATTTTTGTCGGCAGTTTAGCACGGAGAATGACGGTAATAATCAATTTAATCAACAACATTTTACAGCGGCAGCATAAATGATGTATAAATTTTTTTTGCCCATCTCATTAATGAGATCACAAAACTATTTTGTAGAAGTAGAATGTAATTATTACAGCACTTTATTTTTACAGATTGTGATCAACAACAAACAAAAATGAAATGATGAAACAATAATAATGAGTTCCTTCTACATCAGTCAAGAACAACATAAAAAATGCAATGATTATATCGCAGTAATTATTTATTATTTATCAAAAGCAAAAATGCTTTATTCGGGCATTACTTCTACTTTATTCATTACTTATATTAGATAGAACCTTTATTCGGAAAGATGAACCGAGAAAGATGGGTAAAAAAATGTTAAATGATCACTCAATGACACTATATTAATATAAAATACGTGGTTCAAATTCATTCAAGTATTTCAAGTAAAAACCTTAAAAACATAAAACCAGATTAAATCAAATTCCATTGCTACAATGAATTGTAGCAATTCGTAGCTCATTACGATATAAAAAAGTTGAATGTTCTATCAATATAACATACTTTGAATAGAACAAGCTAATATTTTATTCAAATTATCCTAAATGATTGTTCGTCTTGAAACGAATTTAGGTAATGTGCAATTGAAAATCCAATACATCTAAGAATGAAGCTCATCCAATTGTAAACAGGTTACTTATATAAACTAAACGAATGCAAAATAATTAAACATATACAATATTAATGATTTAAACAGACCTTAAAAGCATTATTTTGACCTTGATTCCGTCCCCCAATACGTGGTATCATAAAATGAACAGGAACATTACCAGCAAAATTTTTGAAGCAACAACGCGTACAAGCCTAGGCGTTGCAATCATTGCTCACCACCACATCAAAGGCGGAACCTAACGGTTAGAATCGACAAAAATGTTCCTCTATAATTTCGGTGTCTGATTTTGTCGGGGCTTTTGATTGCAAATGATTACGTATTCATAGGTTAGGACAGCGGAGCCCTGAGGGCGAGGGAGCGCGAGTGACAGAAGGAGTCCTGTGCGTATTCGCACCCGAATTTGCGCTCACGAATTTTGAGTAGATTTCCTCGAGAACCGAGGACATTTACAAGGCAAATGTGCTGTACACAATCCACTCGACGCTGGGTCACGCACCGAATCTCAGCGATCAAACTGCAGCAAATAAATCACAGAGATCCCGTGACTGCTCATGTTTAAATTTACGTTAAGAGTACGCCGAAATTACATCGCGAAATTATGCTGAATAATTTCCGGAGGAATTTTGCAATGTTTGAATGAAAGAAATTTGCGTCAATGTGGTTTTCATTCATCAAATTTTTGTCTTTGTTTCCAATTTGATTTTCAGTTCCCGGACTTACATGCAATTAAGGACGAGCTTAGAAAATATTCTTTACACACCATCACCTTAATTTACAGTATTTTGTTGGCTCTGAGCGCTAGTTACGCTTCACTGAGCTACTCAGAACAGAAGTTATTTTTGACAATGAAAGAAGCAAAAAAATGGAATGTTATTTTGGAATGATAGTCACCATACCAGCTCTTTCAAGTTAATCATTAGAATGAAGAACAGCTACACGATCAGCAATATTGTGAGCTGTTATTGACCTTACCTGTGCTTTTAAATTAATCTTTACAATGACAAGAACTAACACGAGTAACACATTTGTAGAGAGTAAATCATTACCTGTCCTTTTAAATTAATCTTTACAATAAAAATTACTAACACGAGCAACACAATTGTAGAGAGTAAATCATTACCTGTCCTTTTGAATTAATCTTTACAATAAAAAAACACGAGCAACACAATTGTAGAAAAAAAATTGTATAATTGTAGGAAAAACAATTGTAGAGAGTAAATACTCTTACCTGCTCTTCCTTCACTGTCTGCAGGCTTGACCTGAATAGGACGGTTCATCTGCAAAGAAAAAAAAAATTTAGATTTTACTGTTGTTCACGGAAAATATACAAGCTCCAAGTACTTTTAGTGAAATTCAAGAACCTAAAAAAGCAAGCAATGAATTATTGTTGAAATCCATAGAATTGTGTTACGCAAAGATTTCTCAGGAGTCAGTAATCGAGTTAATTAGAATTTGGACAAAATTATAAATGTACATGAGGGTCGTTACAAACGAAAAATCATTTCAAATAGAAAGAGTAGCTATGTAAAATAGGAAGTAAACTCGAGAGAGCAGCACCGAAGTGGCAGCTTGCAACCCTTTTCCTCGTTGCTTTCGAGTTCCGGAACGTTTCCGCATCCCATTTCCGCCTTTTCCGCTGATCTGCGTATTTTTGTGGCTCTCATCAAGGTTTTCTTTACCAACAGAAGCTCAGGGAGCTTTGCATTTTGTGGGCTCGAAAACTCCCTGGCTTGAAAAATAGAAGTAAATGCATTGAAAAATATCCCCAAGCTCTTTAAAATATTGCATGCATGTACGTAAGTCTAGCCTCTGAACGCGCACCCGGTGGTATATTATACGTGGATTTTTTTTCTTTGCCGAAGTTAGGTCGAAAAATCACACTCTCGTGATACCATCGGGCTGACTCGGCCAACAGCGTTGAAATGAACATTTCGCTTTTTTCAGGCTCTATATTCATGAGCCCTAACATGCAGTCATTATTGAAGTTGCTACTATATATTTTTGCGCCACAATGCTACTATATATTTTTCCAAGCATATAAAAGCACTGTTCACATCACTGAGACTATAAATATTGTATTAGCGCATTTCAAATCTTGTTATAATCAGCTTATCGGACAAAATACAACGTACGATCAGTTAACTGGAGTAGGATTTTCCATAGTTTGTGTGAACGACATTCAATTCAGCTTTAATGCATTCAATAAAGTGATATTTTTCATATTTCACTCAAATGGAATGTAAAATAATTAATAAATAATGTGATAACATAGAATCAAATTCAAATGTCGAAGCAAATGTGCAAATATTCGAGGCTAATTTTGAGCTAATTTCGAATTTTTTAAAATTACCTAATTTAGAGGTACAAATACGCTTCGAAAGTACCTAACTCTTTCGAAGGGATCCACAAAAAGGCCCTTGCAAAGCTGTAAAAATTCGTTCAGTTGAAAACACCGCCCGTATTTTGGATACAGTAGCATGATAAGACTTGACAGCCTCACTGCAAGAGATCCGGGAAACTCCTAACTTCGTTATCATGTGCAACAAAGGAGAGCCGCCCAATCTAAGGGATACAACATCCAGAAAAATTGGTTGGGCAGGGTCCATACTCAGTATTCATTGAGTAGACATGGACATTGTCCATGGCATGTAAACTGAATTGCCGGTTCAATAAATGAATAGCAAGAATTCATTCACCGGATGAATGTCACTAAGCGAGCAGCGGCGTCGCATACAAACAGTCGTGATGAATGACAAGTAGCGACCAACGCAGGCATGGGCGGTGATTATGGCACATTGCGGTGTTGGTAGTCAAACAACGACGAATTCCACGTAATGACGACTTTCGCACAACGGTGAATTTAGTGAATCGTTAAAACCAAACGAAACTCTTCACTAAGTCAACCGGATAAGATAAAACGGGCAGTGACACATTCAACATTTGCGTCGACTACATCTAACTTGCCTTCAACAATTCAACGTTTGCGTTCGTACATCTAATTATATTCCTGTAGCCTTATGATAAATTTGGCACATGGTGATTAGATCAGTAATCTGTAGAAAACATTGCTTTATATTTAATGGGGAAAAATACATAATACCGTAAACAAAAGAAAACTGCATTTTCTTTGCTGAGTTATGCAAAAAAGTAAGACGAGTCTTGCGTGAAATTATAAGCTGATATAATTAGTTTAAAAATTGCATAAAAATTTTTCTCATGGAGAATCTTCGTTCACGCATTATGATCATTTCATTAAATGAATCGTTACCAGAATGAAAATACATTCTTTGCTCGTAATAATCAGCGAAAGTTTCATAAATTATTTCTAGAATATTGCTTATTAGGAACGTAATTTTAGCATCGCCTTATTTAACCCCGAATTCAGGGATTGTACAGTAATAGACATTGTGCATTATGAAAAATAAAAATGAAATAATTGGAGGACGATTGCAGTAATGATTACCTGTTGCAGTGTTATTTGTGAGTAACTTGAGTGACGTTGGATCAACCATAAAACTCATTCCCTGCTATTTGGCTATGGTGAGTAATGGCCATATGTTGAAAGTGGTCATAAATTCACCTACCTTCATATCAAATGATGAAATTTCAAATCAGTTGACAAAAACGCAACTGAAATCAGCAGCGCGCAAATGCATCGCACGAGAGAAAACGCCCGCAATTTTGCACGAGCGGATGATCAAAGCGGGCGCAGCGTCTCTCATCAGTTGCTCCATAATTATCACAACTCGTCTTCTCATCACATGAGCAAACTGATGAATTATGAGGAGGACGGAAGAGGATCGTTTGTCTATTCATGAGACACAAAAGTATACGAGAGCGACATATTCGACGGATAAATAAGCGCAGCTGCGAGCATACGCGGGAGTGTCCCAGACCCGAGTATTAATCCGCAGGATTAGTGAAGGATTACACCGAGGAATTAGAGAGGATTTAATGCTACACTGAGCGCTCCGAGGGTCAAGTTCCGCTGGACGAGCTCAGTCGGACCTTTCATTTGAATGCATATTAAAAGTATATTTGTGGTCACGCGAAACTGCGTGGGAAAAATGCATGACATTCGTCACGAGTACATTTAAGTTTGTTATAAAAATTCTGGTAAAGATATATTAAAATCATGAAGTATTTCAGAATGAATCAAAGCCAAAGGTTTTGTACTTATCTAGTGATAGTCAAAACTAACGGGTTTAGTTAGCGGGAGACTACGCTTTTTAATACTGATAAATGAGTTTTACACTAGAAATTATAGTATGTGCCGTTGAATGACCAGTGAGGAACTGCACTTGATAGCAATAAACGGTAATGATAACTATTTGAATCAATCCTTAATTCGAAGGGTGATTAAACATTTTGGCCTGGAGTGATTTACATGTTTTTCAATGTCAGATGTGTTCCTTCGAATATTTAGGTATGAAATGTTCTAATGGTAAAACTATCCTCTCTGTTCAACTTACGCAACTCATACCTACTAATAAACACAGAAAAGCTGTGAAAGCTCAATCGTTTTCATGAAAACTGTCGGTGCCGACTAAGTGAGACTATATTTCATACAACCTTTAATTCAGTATAGTCATATGTTTTATATATATTTTGGAAATGTCGAGAAAATACTGTCGAATTGTTATTTTATATAAAAAAATATTGCCATACATAATAATTCTTAGAACGAAAATTTAAAATTTCAAGTATGAAAAATGCAACTAGTTAGTCGAATGAAAATGATATACTCGTAGACGATTTTTTGATTTCATTATTTTCGATTATTGCGGGAATAAATACGTAGAAACACTTGATACTAAGTGGAAATTTCCAATCAAATAGCAGTGACAAAAACTTCGAGTACAAATCATTACACAAATTTTCCTGACAATGGATTGAATGAGAAATTGAGACTATGAAAAAATGAAAGTTTTTCTATCTCAATTTCAATCATATTATTTTTCAGTTGCAATCTCCGGTTCCGGGCAGCGGCGCTGCGACACTCAGAGAAACGAGTGAAATTCTATCCGAATAGCAATGCACTTTTAATTTTTCCCTTTGTGTCTATTATTCTGAAGCAGCTACTCTCAATAAATGACTTATCAGTGCTGCAGGTAGAATGAATGTCACTAAAAGGACAGCATGACTCATTTATTGGTGTGAGTGAAGAATCACGCACCAGATTGCGCGTAGCCGTTCAGTCGTGAGGGACACGCGACGGCGTAGGAATATTGCCGCGCACCTCCCGACGCTTGTGAGGGAGAGAATCCCCCCCTCTCCCCTTGAGGAATAGCGTTCAGTTATTGCTATGGAGTAACTCGATACCGTGAGGTATAACAGTGAATTGTAATTATAGTTCTGTCAGTGTCGTTGGGTAATTTGATATACCGTGAGGTATAACAGTGAATTGTAATTATAGTTCTGTTATTGCTATAGAGTAATTCGATACCGAGAGGTATAACAGTGGATTGTAACTATAGTTCTGTTATTGCTATGGAGTAATTCGATACCGTGAGGTAAAGCAGTGAGTTGTAATTATAGTTCTGTCAGTGTCATTGGGTAATTTGATAATGTGAGGAATAGTAGCGAGGAGTAATTATTAAAATGCCATCGCTATATGGGGTTATTTCATAACGTGAAGTTTAACAACGAAAGATAACTTTAGTTACATCATTGCCACTGTAATTACTCCATGCTGTGAAGTATAGAAATGAATGCTGATAGTCATTCTGTCACTGCAACTTGGATAATTCCAGTACTATCAGGTAGAGCAAAGAATTGTAATTATAGTTCTGTCTCCACTTCTGGAGTAATTTCATCTGTAGTGTATAGCAATCAACCGTTTTATTCTCCGCAGCCTTTCAGAGGAGGCGATGATGAGATTTTCACGCAATTTTAAGAAGAATTCAAACTTTATGCATGGGCCTATTTCGAAATTTGGCTTATCTGTTCAGATATAGGCTTTTGCATTTAGAAAATAAGATGTGGTGGCAGTTACAAAGGAAATACGTGTTAAGCAATCGTAACAGATTTTGGTCAACATCAGTTGAAAAGTATGAACAAAAACATCGGTAGTATTTTCATAACAAGAAGAGTCTCTGCCCCATCATAAGAAAAGTTTTCAGCAGCATCATCATAGCATTAAGTTGAAAGCAGAATATCTCAGAGGACCCAGCACCGCAAGCTAACTTATTCTCGGACAACTAAATGTAGAGGAAGGTTGCAACGCTAGCTCTATACAGCCACAACTTCAGCCGCCGCATGTGTCTAACACACAATC